GATTATGACTCGTCATCATGTCTTTGAATGACTTCTGACGTTTTGTAACTCGAATTCACAGAGTAAATGCCTCGCCAACACAACACCTGCTAAAACTGACGGACAGCCTCAGCCTCCGTTCTGCCGGGTTAGGGTTGGCGGCCATGTTTGTTTTTCTCGGCGCTGCTTACGTTCGTCAAACCTGGATGTCCCGCCCAACTTTTCAACTTCAAGACTGGCTCATGATTGGGAAGAACACCTGGATGTTCTACTCGAAAAGTGTAAACGGGACAGAACAAGATGTATTCTCATGGTCTCTCTCTGGTCTCTCTCTGGTCTCTCTCTCTGGTCTCTCTCTGGTCTCTCTCTGCTCTTTCTCTGGTCTCTCTTTGGTCTCTCTCTCTGGTCTCTCTTTGGTCTCTCTTTGGTCTCTCTCTGCTCTTTCTCTGGTCTCTCTCTGGTCTCTCTCTGGTCTCTCTTTGGTCTCTCTCTGCTCTTTCTCTGGTCTCTCTCTGGTCTCTCTTTGGTCTCTCTCTGGTCTCTCTCTGGTCTCTCTCTGGTCTCTCTCTGGTCTCTCTTTGGTCTCTCTCTGCTCTTTCTCTGGTCTCTCTCTGGTCTCTCTTTGGTCTCTTTCTGGTCTCTCTCTGGTCTCTCTTTGGTCTCTCTCTGGTCTCTCTTTGGTCTCTCTCTGGTCTTTCTCTGGTCTCTCTCCGCTCTCTCTCTCTGGTCTCTCTCTGCTCTCTCTCTGCTCTCTCTCTGCTCTCTCTCTCTGGTCTCTCTCTGGTCTCTCTCTCCGCTCTCTCTCTCTGCTCTCTCTCTCTGGTCTCTCTCTGGTCTCTCTCTCTGCTCTCTCTCTCTGGTCTCTCTCTCTTACAGAACTGGGTCAAAATCATGAGTTTAATCCCTTTTCTGTCTTGGCTTCAGCTCAAAGTGTCAGCAGAGATGATGTAGAGCAGTGGTACCAGGACAGACCTCGCTCCAGGAGATAAGAGCGGAATTCAGCCCAATCTGAGAGAAATAATACCATAAGTCAAAGTGAAGGATTTACCACGGACTGTGCATGACATCACCACAGTGTGACATCACCACAGTGTGACATCACCACAGTGTGACATCACCACAGTGTTAGCAGAATCCAATCTCAAAACTGAAACCTAAAATGTTCATTCATTCATTTTTGAACCCTTCATTAATCCATTTCTGGGTTGGGAGATGACAGTCAGAGCTTCACCAATAGGGCACTGTCCGGTTGCCGAAATGTGCTAAAAATAGCTCCGATGACTGCGCATGCGCGCATGTTTCGGACAAACTCTGTCCGACTCCGTTGAGTACTACTGTGTTCTCCACATACGCGTGTGTATTTATTTGGGCTAAATCATTGAATCATGGTGACAACAAAACACTGCAGTTATGGTACTTGTTGGAGCGATTTCAGATACTCTGAAAAGGACTATATGAAAGTAACATTCAACCCGTTCGTTAAACCACACCATCGGACCAGACCAGGACAAGTGCAGGAGGTGGGTTCGTGCTTGTGGTCGGCAGAATTTTTCTCATGAAAATGTTAAAAAGGACTCATATTTGTTCAAAACACTTGGTCTGTGAAGCTGGACCAACTGTGGAGCCTCCAGATCCAGTCCTAGCTACGTTTAGCTGAAACTGGATCTGGACCGCTGTATCAGGTCCGTCTGAGCTCTTCTGAATGTATTTAGCACAAACTTTCTCTTTATACCATTTACCCCATCAATCCATATTAGTATTGTTTGTCCTAATCCAGAATGTATACAATTCTCACACCTTTTTTTCAACTTTGTGACTTTTTTTCAACTTCGTGACTATCGGAAAATAAGTACAGACGAGGCGTGTCGGGGTCCGCTTGTTATACGGATTTGTATCAACTGCACACACAAAATTAACTTTAGTCAATTTTATTAATGCCAAAAGGTTTATCTAATGAGTGCAAATAAAATAGTTCCCAAAGGTTTTCCTGCGGCAGGCGAGTAACAGTGAGGATAGTTAACCTACTTCAAAAAAGCAATTGCTTTAGTCGCATTAAAAAAATATTTTTGTCATGAAAACCTTAACAGATAATTCTGAAAACCTCCGTGCATGTGTGTTACGAATGTATGTATAATATATTCTCCCATTAACATTTAAATGTGTTGATTGATTGTCATTTGTGTTTATAGAGTGTGGCTAGCTCCGATAGTTTCTCTCAGAGACAGTAGTGGTGTAGCCCGTTGTGACCCCATGGATCTATCATAATATCGGCTGACAGTAGCTAACTATATAATCAAACTAATTACAAAGTGGACAGCTCAAAAAAACACTTGATAAATGGAAGTTAATCACAGCAAATTAAACAAAGAAGGCGCTAGCATTGTAATTTAAATGACAAGATAACGTTAGCATAATCCTCACCATTACCTTTTTATCAATTCAAACTTTCTACCAGTTACAGACCACAACATTCAAGCCAACGTTTTAATTGGTCTACACTATGATCCCTGATGGTTTGATGGTGGAATTTTGCTCCTGGTATATCATTTTCATCTAAAGTGACAAGTGGCATTTGATTCATTTCGGCAGTGTTTGTCCGAAACATGTGGGCGGGAGTTGACAGGCAGCGGGGGCGTGTCTTAGTGACGTCATTCAGATAGTTCGCTATGCTCATAGCACCAGTCCCTCAGGCAACGTGGGGTCAAGTGTCTTGCCCAAGGACACAACGACAGCAGGTACAAAGGCCAATGCTCTACCAACTGAGCTTTACCGCAATATGTTCAGAACCACAATACTGTGTGTGAATGGTTGGTGGTGGTGGGAAGGGCCGATGGCACAGACTGTCAGTGTGCCCCAGGGCAGCTGTGGCTACAGTAGTTTATCACCACCGTGTTTGGAGAGAATGATTAATGACATCTGAAGCGTCTTTGAGTGTCCAAAAAAGCGCTGTATAAAACAGATGCATTATTATTTTTATTACGATCGAATCGTCTCATTCTCACCTGAGTTTCTAGAGAAAGCTGGACTTTTCCCAGTAAATGAAGGCCTCTGATTGGCCAATCGCTATAAGGCTCATATCTGGATTTATAAAAACAATATCACAACATCAACACCCAACATCTCACCCTGTGTGTGTGTGTGTGTGTGTGTGTGTGTGTGTGTGTGTGTGTGTGTGTGTGTGTGTGTGTGTGTGTGTGTGTGTCAGGCCCTGTGTGTGTGTCTCGGGCCCTGTGTGTGTGTCAGGCCCTGTGTGTGTGTCTCGGGCCTTGTGTGTGTCTCGTGCCCTGAGTGTGTGTCGGGCCTTGTGTGTGTGTCGTGTGTGTGTCTCGGGCCCTGTGTGTGTGTCAGGCCCTGTGTGTGTGTTGTGCCCTGTGTGTGTGTGTCTCGGGCCCTGAGTGTGTGTCGGGCCTTGTATGTGTGTCGGGCCTGGTGTGTGTGTCAGGCTGTGTGTGTGTCTCGGGCCCTGAGTGTGTGTCGGCCCTGTGTGTGTGTCAGGCCCTGTGTGTGTGTGTCAGCCCTGTGTGTGTGTCAGGCCCTGTGTGTGTGTCAGGCTGTGTGTGTTGTGCCCTGTGTGTGTGTCGGGCCTGGTGTGTGTGTCAGGCTGTGTGTGTGTCTCGGGCCCTGAGTGTGTGTCGGCCCTGTGTGTGTGTCAGGCCCTGTGTGTGTGTGTCAGCCCTGTGTGTGTGTCAGGCCCTGTGTGTGTGTCAGGCTGTGTGTGTTGTGCCCTGTGTGTGTGTCGGGCCTTGTGTGTGTGTGTCGGGCCGTGGCTGTTGTGTACACAGAGCTTGAATGGAGGTGATGTCAGACGCTACAGGAAGCTCTTTCACTGCCAGTTTACGGCGCCACAGCCACAGTGAGCTGGAGCACGGGGGGAGGGCCTCGCCGCCAAAAGACCAAAGTATTTACTGCTGCATCCAGGTCTGTTCTGTTTGTTCAGCGCTGAGAGGGCAGAGAATGGACCGAGGAAGAGCAGAGGAAGAGGAGGTTATTGTGACCAGAGTGAGACAGCAGAAAGTCTTCCTCACGGCGCTCAGAGTTCAGAGCTCAGTGTTTCTGTCTGGCCTCATCTGACTGCAGCTGTGTGGAAAGTACAGCTGTCATTTCACATTATTTTGATCATCCATGAGTTGTTTAGATCTAATCGAGGAAACATATAACTCCAGCGTTAAAATCCCTCCACTAGCTTCAGTATCGACAATTTAAAATCCCTCTTTGATCATTCAAGGCCTTATAGAAGAATAGTGTGGCTCTCTTCTATCTCTAGGAGAACCAAACTCTCACCATTCAATCTGGAGGGACTTGAACTGACAAAACCTAGTATTAGAGTTGCATGTTGATTGGCAGGTGATCTCACACTGCATTATTTACACATATGACACTGAGGACAATATTTTCAAGATTACATTTATTGTGCTGAACAGAATGTGGTTAGGGTTTGGCCTTAGACCCCGGCAGAGCACTGCACGATTGCAGAAGGGGAAGGAGATGAGATGAAATCCCCCCGGGGCTTAGACCCTGGTGGGAGCGAGGAGAAGAATGAAGGAGCTGGCCTGGAACAAGGCGGAGACGGGGAGGAGGAGGGTTGTGGCGTGAATGAAGCTGCTGCTTGGATGGAGCTTCAGCGTGATATGAAGCTGATGTTGGCAGCAGCTGAGTGTGATTGACAGATCAGGAGAGCTGGGTTCTCAGGTATTCCACTCTGAAGCTGCACTATGGACACTGTGTCTCCTCCGTGTCTCCTCCGTGTCTCCTCCGTGTCTCCTCCGTGTCTCCTCCGTGTCTCCTCCGTGTCTCCTCAGTGTCTCCTCCCAAGCACTACTAAACTCACTAATTTAAAGCTGGGGTACCTACATTTTTTCTTGTATTAACAGCTCATGTTGGTTGTGCCCAAAAGTAAAATGTTGTGAGCAAATCAAACAGATTTATTCATTTCATATATTTTTTAAATGTCCCATTCTCGTCCCTGTAACAAGCGACAGTTTGGTCTGTGTCTGTGACATGTTTATTACGCTCTGGTAATGTAGACCTTTGCACTTGATTTTAATTGTTGAAACCGCATACATCCTGATCCTCCACAGTATGTGCTGTAGAGATTATTTAAACGGCATCACATATTAAAAACACCGGCCCGGGCCGTCGAGGAGGAAAAAATGCCCGGGCCGTTTTTTGGTCCCGGTCCAGCCCTGTTGGTGGTTCCTAAAGAGTCAAAAAGCAAAGTCGGAGTCTACAGCCTCAGTCCTGGATCTACAGCCTCAGTCCTGGGTCTACAGCCTCAGTCCTGGGTCTACAGCCTCAGTCCTGGATCTACAGCCTCAGTCCTGGGTCTACAGCCTCAGTCCTGGGTCTACAGCCTCAGTCCTGGATCTACAGCCTCAGTCCTGGATCTACAGCCTCAGTCCTGGATCTACAGCCTCAGTCCTGGATCTACAGCCTCAGTCCTGGGTCTACAGCCTCAGTCCTGGGTCTACAGCCTCAGTCCTGGGTCTACAGCCTCAGACCTGGGTCTACAGCCTCAGTCCTGGGTCTACAGCCTCAGTCCTGGGTCTACAGCCTCAGACCTGGATCTACAGCCTCAGTCCTGGATCTACAGCCTCAGTCCTGGGTCTACAGCCTCAGTCCTGGATTTACAGCCTCAGTCCTGGATCTACAGCCTCAGTCCTGGGTCTACAGCCTCAGTCCTGGATCTACAGCCTCAGTCCTGGGTCTACAGCCTCAGTCCTGGGTCTACAGCCTCAGTCCTGGATCTACAGCCTCAGTCCTGGGTCTACAGCCTCAGTCCTGGATCTACAGCCTCAGTCCTGGATCTACAGCCTCAGTCCTGGGTCTACAGCCTCAGACCTGGATCTACAGCCTCAGTCCTGGGTCTACAGCCTCAGACCTGGATCTACAGCCTCAGTCCTGGGTCTACAGCCTCAGTCCTGGGTCTACAGCCTCAGTCCTGGATCTACAGCCTCAGTCCTGGGTCTACAGCCTCAGACCTGGGTCTACAGCCTCAGTCCTGGATCTACAGCCTCAGTCCTGGATCTACAGTCTCAGTCCTGGATCTACAGCCTCAGTCCTGGATCTACAGTCTCAGTCCTGGGTCTACAGCCTCAGTCCTGGATCTACAGCCTCAGTCCTGGGTCTACAGCCTCAGTCCTGGGTCTACAGCCCGTCCGCCCCCGATCCTTCAGTCCAGGACAGGTCTCTCTCTGGTCTGGAAGCTTTCTGTAATCTCCTCCCTGCGTTTCCATTCTCAATCCCGTCTTACACTGACTGACAATCGCTCATTTGCACTTTGAAAAAACATCAAATATTAACGGTATGTTTACGATAAAAGGAAAAGCTCCTCTCTGCTCACAACCGCATTATTAATTCATACTGTTAAAACGACTTTCCAACAATTAATGGGAGCCGATGCATGGGGCCGCGATTGCTTTTTGGAAATAAAGAAGGCGTCGGTCTGACAAGCAATGCATTATGGGCCGGACTGAGTGGCTTATCTATAGAAGGCACGCTGTTAGCTTTAAAAGTACAGCCACAAAGTCTCACAGCGGTCACGGCCGACCACACCATTAACGGGACCAGAAAACCAAAGTACCAGCATTTAATATATGTGGTCATGGACGTGTCATCGCAGAAACCAGAGGGAGAGACCACAGAGAGAGAGCAGAGGGAGAGACCAGAGAGGGAGAGACCACAGAGAGAGAGCAGAGGGAGAGAGGGAGAGACCAGAGAGAGAGAGACCACAGAGAGAGAGCAGAGAGAGAGAGCAGAGAGAGAGAGCAGAGGGAGAGAGGGAGAGACCAGAGAGAGAGCAGAGGGAGAGAGAGAGAGAGCAGAGGGAGAGAGACCACAGAGAGCGAGCAGAGGGAGAGAGAGAGAGCAGAGAGAGAGAGACCACAGAGAGCGAGCAGAGGGAGAGAGAGAGAGCAGAGAGAGAGAGACCACAGAGAGAGCAGAGGGAGAGAGAGAGAGACCACAGAGAGAGAGCAGAGGGAGAGAGGGAGAGACCACAGAGAGAGAGCAGAGGGAGAGAGGGAGAGACCAGAGAGAGAGCAGAGGGAGAGAGAGAGAGAGCAGAGGGAGAGAGACCACAGAGAGCGAGCAGAGGGAGAGAGAGAGAGCAGAGAGAGAGAGACCACAGAGAGAGCAGAGGGAGAGAGAGAGAGACCACAGAGAGAGCAGAGGGAGAGAGGGAGAGACCAGAGAGAGAGAGACCACATAGAGAGCAGAGGGAGAGAGAGAAAGCAGAGGGAGAGAGGGAGAGACCAGAGAGAGAGAGACCACAGAGAGAGCAGAGGGAGAGAGGGAGAGACCAGAGAGATAGAGACCACAGAGAGAGCAGAGGGAGAGAGAGAGAGACCACAGAGAGAGCAGAGGGAGAGAGAGAGAGCAGAGAGAGAGACCAGAGGGAGAGGGACCACAGAGAGAGAGCAGAGGGAGAGAGGGAGAGACCAGAGAGAGAGAGACCACAGAGAGAGAGCAGAGAGAGAGAGACCACAGAGAGAGAGCAGAGAGAGAGAGCAGAGGGAGAGAGAGAGAGACCAGAGAGAGAGAGCAGAGAGAAAGGGAGACCAGAGAGAGAGAGACCAGAGAGATACGAGAGAGAGAGACCACAGAGAGAGAGAGAGAGAGACCAGAGAGAGAGAGAACAGAGAGAGAGACCAGAGAAAGAGAGCAGAGAGAGACCAGAGAGAGACCAGAGAGAGAGAGAGAGACCAGAGAGATACGAGAGAGAGAGACCACAGAGAGACTAGAGAGAGAGAGAGAGCAGAAAGAGAGAGACCACAGGGAGAGAAAGACCCCAGAGAGAGAGAGAACAGAGAGAGAGACCAGAAATAAACCAGAGAGAGACCAGCATCTGTCCTGGGTCTACAGCCTCAGTCCTGGGTCTACAGCCTCAGCCCTGGGTCTACAGCCTCAGTCCTGGATCTACAGCCTCAGTCCTGGGTCTACAGCCTCAGTCCTGGGTCTACAGCCTCAGTCCTGGGTCTACAGCCTCAGCCCTGGGTCTACAGCCTCAGTCCTGGGTCTACAGCCTCAGTCCTGGGTCTACAGCCTCAGTCCTGGGTCTACAGCCTCAGTCCTGGATCTACAGCCTCAGTCCTGGGTCTACAGCCTCAGTCCTGGGTCTACAGCCTCAGTCCTGGGTCTACAGCCTCAGTCCTGGGTCTACAGCCTCAGTCCTGGGTCTACAGCCTCAGTCCTGGGTCTACAGCCTCAGCCCTGGGTCTACAGCCTCAGTCCTGGATCTACAGCCTCAGTCCTGGGTCTACAGCCTCAGTCCTGGGTCTACAGCCTCAGTCCTGGGTCTACAGCCTCAGTCCTGGATCTACAGCCTCAGTCCTGGGTCTACAGCCTCAGTCCTGGGTCTACAGCCTCAGTCCTGGGTCTACAGCCTCAGTCCTGGGTCTACAGCCTCAGTCCTGGATCTACAGCCTCAGTCCTGGGTCTACAGCCTCAGTCCTGGATCTACAGCCTCAGTCCTGGGTCTACAGCCTCAGTCCTGGGTCTACAGCCTCAGTCCGGATCTACAGTTTCTACAGTCTACAGGAAGGTCTAAGAACAACGATGACAGACGTTAGAGGCTGTGGTTTTCGGCGATACACAAATAAATTGAACTACAGCCTCAGCCCTGGGTCTACAGCCTCAGTCCTGGGTCTACAGCCTCAGTCCTGGGTCTACAGCCTCAGTCCTGGGTCTACAGCCTCAGTCCTGGATCTACAGCCTCAGTCCTGGGTCTACAGCCTCAGTCCTGGGTCTACAGCCTCAGTCCTGGGTCTACAGCCTCAGTCCTGGGTCTACAGCCTCAGTCCTGGGTCTACAGCCTCAGTCCTGGGTCTACAGCCTCAGCCCTGGGTCTACAGCCTCAGTCCTGGATCTACAGCCTCAGTCCTGGGTCTACAGCCTCAGTCCTGGGTCTACAGCCTCAGTCCTGGGTCTACAGCCTCAGTCCTGGGTCTACAGCCTCAGTCCTGGGTCTACAGCCTCAGTCCTGGGTCTACAGCCTCAGTCCTGGGTCTACAGCCTCAGCCCTGGGTCTACAGCCTCAGTCCTGGATCTACAGCCTCAGTCCTGGGTCTACAGCC